CTGCTGGCGTCGCTGTCGATGTCCTCTGCGCTGTCTTCTGCTCAGTATCTCGTCGTTCTGGCACTCGGGGAGTTGGGTGGTCGCTGTTCGGGAACTTCGCCGGTAATCGCAGGGCTCTCCAGGCTGCCGCCTCTTGAAACCGCACATCGATCTACCGCTCGTCCGTCACGCCAGGTCCTGCTTGGTCGGGCAAGTTACGCTGGGTCGCAGGCAACTTTCCTCCCCAAGCTGACGGCTCTTCTTCGTAGGACTCTTTTGCTTGTCTCTGACAGACCCGCCGGGCGACTCGCCAGGGTGTGGTCGTGACAAAGTTAGAAAACAAACGCGTTGACTTAGCCGCGTGATGCCTTCCAGAACTCAGCCACCTCTGTCTCAATTCGGAGATTCCTGATGTCCCAATCCCGAACATCTCGACGTGGCGATCTTGCTCCTTGTGTGCTTCCCACGGCGCTGCTTCCGACGACTCGCTTGTTAGTAGCTCCCTCGTAGATTACTTGCTTGTCTGACTGTTTACTTGGTACTTTAACTGATCTTGAAGGTTTGACTCCTCGTGATCGACTGATCCAGCTGCCAGCGCTCTGCGGCCTTATATAGGGCCTCCGGGAACCGTTATTTCCCTTTTGCGCGCGTCCCGCTGGATCTCTCCACTCTGGGTCCAAAGTCCGTGCCTCCTGGATGACCCACTTGTCCTTCACGTACCGCTTCCAATAGATGCTCCGCCCACTGCTGCCATTCCGCTGATTCCCGTGCCGCTTGTGGCACGCCTGTGTGCCGCTCCACTGACGAGATGTGGTACTTCCTCTCCCGGTTCAAAGTTCACGGGAGAGTCCAAAGTCCGGTGGAGTTCCGTTATCCTGTTTTTGCACACGGCCCTCTTGCCTTGCCCGCGAAGTCTCCATTCTCCCTCGTTCTCCATGCTTGGTCTCCAAACTCTCTTGCTCTCCGTCCTCGGTCTCCAAACTCTCTCGATCTCCATCCTTGGTCTCCAAACTCTCTCGTTCTCCATCCTTGGTCTCCAAACTCTCTCGTTCTCCATCCAAGTTTCCAAACTCTCCTCGCCGCGCCGTTACAACGCGAATTCGCCGCGTAACTGGTAAGTGGCCGGCCATCTGCTGCTGCTTCTATTTGTGGGGAGTTATTCAACTCCTCACATTCCCCCCTTACTTCGGGAAACATTTAGAACTTGTTTCTACCTCCGGCGTTTCCTTGCATGTCCTAGTCTTCGAGTCCTTGTGATTCCCGCGGCGCTCCCTCGTTGCTCCCTCGATGCTCCCTCGACGCTCTTAACTCCCTTGAGTTTCTATAGCGCTGATCATCCTCCTCGTAGCAACTTTAAATCTCCCGCGCCGATATTTCCCGTGTTTCCACTGGGACATCGATACTCATGGGCTATCGATCCCCAACTTGCTGCTCATTGCTGAGTTCTACTCCTTTTATTGGTTCCTCCGCCTGGTCACACCATTCGTGCGTGATCGATGTTTATTCGCATATCGATACCGACTGTGCGGCGTTGCCACCTGCTCGTTGCGATATTTCCACCTTGGCCGATGTTTCCATTTTCGTGTGCCCATCGATCGCACTATCGTCCAGTGCCAATCGATCGCCTATCGAGGCGCCGTTACATCGTTACATCTGGCGCCCAACGTGATTGTCCCAACAGTGAGAACACCACAGTAAAAATGGGAAAGAAGTGGATTTACCGCCTCAAGAAGGAAGACTTCGCCCATGTCGCACAGAGGCTCAACGTCGCCCTGGAGGGCAGGCTAGACGACATGAGGAAGGCACTATCGGAATACTACTCCGAAACAGAGAACGATCCACAACTCGTCGACATCTGGACCGAGCTAAAGGCGACATACCACGACAGAGCTGGCCCAAGCATTACGTGAACGAACGCTGAAGGGGACAACCTGGTGGCAAGCCTGAGCATTGACAACATGCAAAAAGAGGCCCACAGGAGAGAATCAAGCCAAGAAAAGAAAGCAGCAGCGCTGACCCCGAGACCAAGCCAGTCGGACTATGCAAAGGTCGCTAAGCAGGTCCGCGAATGGTCGTTCAGGTTCGACGGGGCGGAAAAACTATTCGAGTTCCTGGAGCAGGTAGAATGGTCCGCCAACACGTACGGTTTGGAGCTTGATATGATCCCTCGAGCGATGCCAGAGTTGCTAAAAGGAAGGGCTTTGAAATGGTTCATCGCCAACAATAATTCATTCAAACATATTTCCTGCCAATAGATTTCTTCACCAGGCTGGCGGACCAGGTCCGACAAAGGAAGCAAGGCTTCAGCGAGTCGTTCAAGGACTACATGATCGACATGCAGACGATGGTGAGGCCACTTAACTATTCTACGAAAAAGACGTTAAGGGTCATTAAAGAGAACTGCACCCCAAGCCTACGGATGTTCTTAAGAGCATACAAAGTGTCGGACCTGGACACGCTAATGATCCTAGCCGATGAGTACGAAGAACTTGAAAAGGAACGGGAAGTCTTCGCACAGGAGAACAAGTTCTCAAAGACAAAGTCGGCGTCACCAACACAGGTGACATGCAGGAGATGCGAGGAGGTAGATAACCAGGACCCACGAGGAAACGACCAATGGTCACCACCACGCCAAGCCAGACGACAGCAGGCAACAGACGCACCACGCGGAGGCCATTGGGCACCACCCCCACAACAACAGAGACAGCCAAACAATACCTTGTGGAGGCCGCCAAGCAACACACAGAGGCCACAAGATGCCACCCATATCACAGACCCGCAAGAGGCCTGTCGAAAATGCGGTGGGAACGGACACTGGGCTAGAGGATGTCGAAACCAGCGGCTGTTATTTTGCTGGATATGCGGCAAGGTGGGTGTCAGGAGCGTCGATTGCTGCCAACGATCGGGAAATGGCCAGCGATCTCAGCCGCAGAGAGGCGAGCGGGGATCGCACAATGCCACCTCTCTAAACTAACGGGCAAGCTAATCGAGGAGGAGCAGCAGTTGTCCGCAGCTGTGATGATTGGTGGGAACAGCTACAAAGCCACAATCGACACCGGAGCAACGGCAAGCTTCGTGAGCGAAGAATTGGCGGACAATATTGCTGCTCTAGGAAAGATTACAAAAACGAGACGGCAAGTTAGGTTGGCAGATGGAAGGTGCGGCGGAATTGATGCGCAGCTCGAGGTGGAGGTCAAATTCGACAACAAACAAGTGACCATGAGCCTGTTGATTTTACCCAGAGTAGTGGATCCATTAGTGTTGGGATGGAACTTTCTGAAACAAGTCGGAACCGAGATAAGGTGTGCTGGACACGAGATAAGAATACCAACCAGGAACCGACACAATGGATGGCTTGAGGAGAAGCTATCAGTAGCAGTCGTTCAACAAGTAAACGAGTTGGACGATACTACAGCGTTCCTTGAAGAAGAGCTGGCAGACTTCAGCACAATGACGGGAACATCGAATATGGCAGAACACCAGATCAATATGAAAGATGACAAGCCAAACAAGCAGAGATACTACCCCAAGAACCCGAAAATTCAAGGGGAAATCAACGTAAAGGTGGACGAGCTTCTCCAAATGGGGTTCATAGAGCATTCAAAGAGCCCATACAGCTCCCCCATCGTGATGGTGAAAAAGAAGACAGGCAAGTGGAGACTGTGTGTCGACTTCAGGCAGATCAACGCGAAGTCAGTTAAGGATGCCTACCCAATGCCTCGCATAAACTACATCCTGGACCAACTAAGGGAAGCGCGGTACATCAGCAGTTTGGACCTGAAGGATGGATACTGGCAAATCCCACTGGAAGAGAGTAGCAGGCAGTATACGGCGTTCACGGTACCAGGCAAAGGTCTGTTTCAGTGGAGGGTAATGCCGTTCGGACTTTACTCGGCGTCGGAAACGTTTCAGCGAGTTTTGGACCAAGTAATTGGACCCGAGATGTCACCTCACTCATTCGCTTACCAGGATGACATAATAGTGATCGGTCCACGCTGGAAGAACACAAAAGAAACCTGAGAGAAGTGTTCCGGCGTCTAAAAGAGGCAAACCTGAGGCTGAATCCAGAAAAATGCCAATTCTTTAAAAAGGAACTACTGTACCTGGGACATCGAGTGACAAGCGAGGGAATAGGAACAGATCCAGAAAAAGTAGCCGCCATCGCCGAACTGGAACCGCCATCGACCGTCAAAGAACTTCGGCAATACCTAGGAGTAGCGTCGTGGTACCGCCGATTTGTACCAAATTATCCAGAATCGTCAAACCCCTGAATGACCTGCTGCGCAAAGGCAGTAAGTGGGAGTGGACACCAGAGCACCAGATGGCGTTTGAGGAAGTAAAGGCAAGACTCGTGGCAGATCCGGTGCTAGCATGCCCGGACTTCAGTAGAACTTTCATCCTGCAAAAAGACGCCAGCGACTACGGCATCGGAGCAATACTGACCCAGGACACCGAAAAGGGTGAAAGAGTAATCTCCTATTCGAGCCGAACACTGAACGGCGCGGAGAAGAACTATTCAACAACGGAGAAGGAGTGCTTGGTGATCGTCTGGGCGATCCGGAAGCTCAGGCCATATCTGGAAGGTTACCACTTTAAGGTAGTAACCGACCACATGGCCCTGAAGTGGCTCAACAGCATCGAAAGCCCTTCAGGAAGGATCGCCAGATGGGCCCTGGAGCTACAACAGTACGACTTTGAGATAGCGTACAGAAAGGGTCAGCTAAACGTGGTGCCCGACGCATTATCAAGACAACCACTACCAGAGACGCTACGAGGATTAAAAGAGGCGTCGGCAACAATAACTTCAGGAGGGTGCAGCTGGATCAAGGACATGGGCGAAAAGATAAGGACCCAACCGCAGAAGTACCCGGACTATGTTATGGATGGTGAGACACTGTACAGAAACACACCTCACCGAGCAGGCAGTAAAGACGTCGCGTCATGGAAGATGTGCGTCCCAAAGTCGCTACGAGAAACAGTGTTGATGGAAAACCACGACGCACCGTCTGCGGGACACGTAGGATACGCGGCCGAGGAGCCCAGTCCGAGGAGCGAGGATGGGGACGAGCCATGCCCGCCATCCCCTCCGCGGTGGTTGCCAGAGGTACCACCCACTCCCCGCTACGAAGGGGAGTGGCTCACAGACGACGCTCGAGACGGCGACGGAGGAGCACCGTTGGCCACGCCGCCGTGGAGGCCGGCCCAGCCACCCACACCGCGATACATCGAGCCACAGCGACCGGAGGAGCAAACGCCAAGCGAAGAGTCGACCGCGCAGCCGATGCCACAACCGCAGAAGGAGGAAGTCCACTAGGCACGGGCGGAGGAGCCGTCGGTGGTGCGGACGGAGGTGCCGGCCGCGCACGTGAGCCACAGCACACGGGCGTTCGTGGCCGAGGGCGTGCGGTGGCGGCAGCAGACGCTGGTATGGACGTGGCCCGAGGGGCCCGCGACAGGACCGACGAAGGAGGAGCCCAGGATATGGGAGGAGGGGGTACCCAAGGTGAACCCTCTGGACCCCCGGACGAGAAGCCGACAGGATGCATGGGTCCCGCCGACACCGGCAAGGACGGGGGAGGCGGAGTCGCTGGAGAAGGGACCGTGGGTGTGGCCCGAGCCACCGGCCACCCAAAGACCTCCGTTGCAGCGTCAAGCTTCGACGCCCGGATCGACGCGCCCGCGGCCGCAGTTCATGCGGCAAGTATGGGCCCCGGAAGAAGGCGGTTGGCGCGAGGTCGCCAGGAGCGAGTGGCCGGAGGGAATTGAGGAGGCACCCGCGGTCGCGACGGCACGGCGGAAGGGCGGCAGGCGTTGCGTCCTGGTCAGCGAAGGCGGAAGGAGGTACCGGGTGAGGATCGGAGTCGCGGGCATCCGGGTGTTCACTCAATAAATAAACGAAAAAAAAATCAAAAAAAAAAAAAACAAGGGTTTCCCAAGTAACAAGAGAAGGGGGTACGGGGCCAAGAGTTTGATTGGGGGTGGCTGGAAGAAGAACGGGGCATGCATGGGCCACTCCAGCAACCTGTAAGTCAAATGGTCTTAGTACAGGAAGAAGAAATGAACGTCAATTACTTACCTGCTGTCCCGGTTGCAAAGTGAATGCGAAGTCCTCTCCGCACCTGCTCTCGAAAGCTGCCAATATGGAGTCAGATGCTGCCAACAGAGGACGAGTGAAGGGCGAGAGAGGACGAAAGGATGAGATGAGAAGGAGTGAAGGAAATGCAAAGAAACTTTCCTATAAAAGTTGCAAAATCACCACGAGCCAGGGGAAGGGGGCGCCTCGATAGGCGATCGATTGGCACTGGACGATAGTGCGACCGATGGGCACACGAAAATGGAAAAAATCGGCCAAGGTGGAAATATCGCAACGAGCAGGTGGCAACGCCGCACCGTCGGTATCGATATGCGAATAAACATCGATCACGCACGAATGGTGTGACCAGGCGGAGGAAACATGGAAAGGAGTGAGACGCAGCAATGAGCAGCGAGCTGGGGATCGATAGCCCATGAGTATCGATGTCCCAGTGGAAACACGGGAAATATCGGCGCGGGAGATTTAAAGTTGCTACGTGGAGGATGACCAGCGCTGTAGAAACTCAAGGGAGTTAAGAGCGTCGAGGGAGCATCGAGGGAGCAACGAGGGAGAAACGAGGGAGCGCCGCGGGAATCACAAGGACTCGAAGGCTAGGACATGCAAGGAAACGCCGGAGAGTAGAAACAAGTTTTGAATGTTTCCCGAAGTAAGGGGGGAATGTGAGGAGTTGAATAACTCCCCACAAATAGAAGCAGCAGCAGATGGCCGGCCGCTTACCAGATTCGCGGCGAATTCGCGTAGTAACGGTGCGGCGAGGAGAGAGTTTGGAGACTTGGATGGAGAACGAGAGAGTTTGGAGACCAAGGATGGAGAGCGAGAGAGTTTGAAGACCAAGGATGGAGATCGAGAGAGTTTTGAGACCAAGGACGGAGAGCGAGAGAGTTTGGAGACCAAGCATGGAGATCGAGAGAGAATGGAGACTTCGCGGGCAAGGCAAGAGTGCCGTGTGCAAAAACAGGATAACGGAACTCCACCGGACTTTGGACTCTCCCGTGAACTTTGGACCGGGAGAGGAAGTGCCACATATCGGCAGCGGAGCGGCACACAGGCGTGCCACAAGCATCAGGGGAAACAGCGGGACTGCAGCAGTCGGCGGAGCATCGATTGGAAGCGGTACGTGAAGGACAAGTGGGTCAACCAGGAGTCACGGACTTTGGACCCAGAGTGGAGAGATCCAGCGGGCCGTGCGCAAAAGGGAAATAACGGTTCCCGGAGGCCCTATATAAGGCCGCAGAGCGCTGGCAGCTGGATCAGTCGATCACGAGGAGTCAAACCTTCAAGATCAGTTAAAGTACCAAGTAAACAGTCAGTCAAGCAAATAATTTACGAGGGAGCTACAACCAAGCGAGTCGTCGGAAGCAGCGCCGTGGGAAGCACACAAGGAGCAAGATCGCCACGTCGAGATGTTCGGGATTGGGACATCAGGAATCTCCGAATTGAGACACAGGTGGCTGAGTTCTGGAAGGCATCACGCGGCTAAGTCAAGGCGTTTGTTTCCCAACTTTGTCACGACCACACCCTGGCGAGTCGCCCGGCGGGTCTGTCAGAGACAAGCAAAAGAGTCCTACGACGAAGAACCGTCAGCTTGGGGAGGAAAGTTGTCTGCGACCCAGCGTACCTTGCCCGACCAAGCAGGACCTGGCGTGACGGACGAGCGGTAGGTCCATTTGTGGTTTCAAGAGGCGGCCGCCTGGAGAGCCCTGCGATTACCGGCGAAGTTCCCGAACAGCGATCGTCCAACTCCCCGAGTGCCAGAACGACGAGATACTGGTCAGAGGACAGCGCAGAGGACATCGACAGCGACACCATCGCCGCGCGGAGCTCATTGGGGAGCGCAGGAGCGTCGCGGACGTCACGCATTAGGGTGAAGCCGGGTGGAACGTTCGTCTGCGCTAGGCGTAAAGCGAAGTGAACCGCTAGACAGCTTCCTGGCGGCAGCCTTGACTGTCAGCGCGAACTGAGCAAGAACCTAGCAGGACCGTCCGGGACAGAGCAAGGGACAGGTATTGCCTCGAAAGGCGTCAGCCTGGAGAGCAAGGCTTGTTCACCCTAGTCTGAGAACGGTGACGCTTCCCTAAGCCCACAAGGCCGAACTCTCTGCGGCTCTAAGGCGCAACAAGCGACCCCGAGGCAGCGCGTCGGCAAGCAAGCAGAGGCGGCCACTACGAGCGACCCGAGACCCAGGATCCAGAGGAAGACGGGTCAACGCGTCGAGGAGCCAGAAAGAGGAGCGCCAGCAGCCGGCGGAACCAGAGCCAGGAGATACCGGAGCCAGCCCAGCCACACACCTGCTGTACTAATACCACGAGAATAAATCCCACTGTTACCATTTGAACCCCTTTGTTTTCTCACTGATCTACGGGCAATCACGTCATATAAATTTGGTGGGACGAACACACAATCTTCTGAGCTAGCCGCACGAATCTCGTAGCGAGCAGACACAAAATCAGTTCGTTACAAGGTCCACCCGGGCAGAGATCCGCTGTATCCGGGTAAGGCTGACTTAGAACAGGCGGTCGCCACTTGTCTGAGCTCACCGTTTGAGACTGAGTTTTTTGATAGCTCGGGCTCCCAGCCAGATTGACTCTCGGCATGGTTCGAATGACCATGTCCAGCCCGGGGTGAGATGAGTTGTGTGGATAGGGAAGAGGTAGGTTCAAGGAGTGTGGGAAGGGGGTATGTGTGAGCTATTTGTTGGAGGCGGCAGCACAAGTGCGACGTCGGTACTGCTACGGCGCAGATACCCGCTGACTGTCCGGGGCTACTTATTTACGCTTCGTGTTGGGGGCTTGGCGTTAGCCGGGCCGTATCCAACTTCCACGCTTACTCGTAGCTACCCTGGAGAAACAGGGCGCTCGCTAGCCTCGGTAGCCTTCAGCTCGGCGCCCTCCGAGCCATCCCACTAGCTCTTTGGCCGAAGTAAACAGGATACTTTTGTTGTCGGCTGGTTTTTCCTTTTTGGTCATATTTAATTTTTCGTTTTCCCTCGTTGAAATTCGTAATTCCCTTTTTAATAGTTCCACTTCTCGCATCATTAAATCCCATTTCATGTCTTCGTAGTCCTGGTTAATTTTGTTCAGATTTTGTTCATATGAAATTCCTTTATTTACTTTTGACTTAGTTGCAGATGTAGTCATCCTAAGTATTCTTCGTTCTCGCTTTCGTATGTCGTCTCGGCACTTACTTGTTTGAATTTCTATTGATTATTTCCATTGTTTCCATTTCGTACCACTTTATTCTCAGTTTTCTTCTTGTTAACATTTATTTTCGCTGCTTCGTTGATCTCGTTTCTTTCGTTGTTCATACATCCATCTTTGTCTTGCATTTCATAACCTTGTTGCTTTTCGTTGTCTGGCTTATCGTTGTCTTTCATTTCGTTATAGTGATTTCCTTGTAGTTCATTTTCTTTCGTCTCGCACTCCTTTCCCTTCTCTTTGTTCTCGTCATCCTTACGGCTTGGTGATGCTAATGGTTTTACAGTTGCGTCAGCTTCTCGAACTTTTCTTTCTTCTTCATTGTCTTTCATTTCGTCTTCTTTTTGTTCCTCTATGTTCTCGTTGTCCTTATGGCTTGGTGACGCTAATGATTTTACAGTTACATCAGCTTCTCGAACTTTTCGTAAACGTTGAATTAATTCTGGTTTATTACCAGTTAAAGGTTGTTTTAAATAATTTTAATTTTCTGGTTCTTCACATGCGTGTGTTCTTGGCACAGTTCCGACGAAAAAGTGTTTTTTTCTCATCCGCGTTTCAAGGTTGCCACACATTTTTTACGTTCTGCGTTGCCAGATCGCATACTTAAATTTAGTATTTTATATACTGTACATAGTTTTACAATAAATACTTAATATATCTTGTTTATATGCTTGTCTTATAATCTAATTTTAAATATTGGTTGTTGTTTAAGATATTAACAAAGAATTATCTTACATGTTTTTAATTGCTTAACAAATTTAAATATCGTCCTCAACAAAGGGTGCGAAATTACGTGCTTATCGTAAGCTGTACGATTATTTAAAGCTATTTACGGACAAGCTAGCTGTGGTCATTACTTGGCGTGGAACTGCGGAGAAACCCAGCATCCAACGATTCTCAACATATTTCATTGTAAAAGTTAATGGTTTCTAGTTTACTTTTACTTTGGCTGAACAAAAAACAATTTTTGTTTCCGTTTCTTTTAGAAATGGTTATTAATAAATTTCTTACGTAGGAGCTGAACCTAAATAACATTGTTCAGCAAAATATTCTACATGCCAGGGACCGGGTATACAAGCGGACAAAGCCCTTATACACAAAATAAATGCAAAATATTGAAAGTATAAAAAAATATGTTTTTATTCAAGATTTTCCAATTGGGGAAGAGTCTTCTAGGTATCTTCTACAAGCATATGTGAAGTCTCTTCTGAGTGACTTCCAGAAGTGACTACGGCGACACTTCCAGAAGTTACTTCGGCGATATCGTATTCGTATCGCGGGAGTGACTTCCGTCGGGAAGAAATGTGCCACTTCGGCGGCATGTTTTATTTTAATCAGATATTTCGTATTCTTTGCTTCACTAATTATTTAAATTTGTAATTTAAATTGAATTTCCGCCAAAACAAAGGAATAACTACGCCAAGTTTTTTAAAGCTTCATGATATGCATTTAAAACTATCTATCTCACTTAATCGTAC